ATGCACCAGCTGGCGGCCGCCAAGGCGGTGGCGCTGGGCAAGCCCTGGGTGCTCGACCCGGTCGGCTGCGGCGCCACGCCCTACCGCACGGCCGCCTGCCTGCACATGCTGCAGCTCAAGCCCACCGTGGTCAGGGGCAACGCGTCGGAGATCCTCGCACTCGCGGGCGCCGCAGGTGCCGAGACACATAGCAGCCAGGGCTGAGGGCATGCGTGCCGCTTGTGCATGCACCAGCAGTCCCATGCGCGGCTTGTGGCGCGGTGCCCAGGGTCGCCTGCAGCAACTTGGAAGTTGCCGCCATCAAACGATGGGTGTCTGTTTTCCCGCGTGATCATGGCAGCAATGGTGCCTGTTGTTTTGCGCGACGCACACACACAAACACACTGCACACACACCTGATGCTCAGCGCCACATTCGGTAGCCCTGTCGCAACAGAGCGCACGACGCCCCGCCCTTGTATCGCGCCCTCCATCAACCCCAGCCAGCGTCAAGGGTGTGGACAGCACAGCGGCCAGCCACGAGGCACTGGATGCGGCCAAAAAGATCGCGCAGCAGTACGGCTGCATCGTGGCCGTGTCGGGCGCGACAGATCTGGTGGGGGGACGGCATGTGGCACGCCTGCTTGGGAAGGGGACCCAGAGCAGGGCGTCAGCAGTGCATGCGTTTGTGAGGGTCTGATTGCCCCTGCCGCTGCACAACCATTGAACAGCAGTTTTATCCCCTGAACACCACTCCGACACGCACCCCCTGGCTTCTCCTGGTGGTGATCAGGTCACCGACGGCAGCCGCGTGGTGGGCGTGAGCAACGGGACGGCCCTGCTCACCCAGATCACTGCAACCGGCTGCAGCGTGACCGCCCTCATCGCTGCCTTCCTGGCAGCTGCCCCCGAAGGCGCAGCGCTGCAGGCCGCGGCCGCGGCCCTGGCTGTGTTTGGGTGAGCTGCGGGTACTGCGCCGGGTGGTCCGCCCGCGGTGCGGCCCTTGCTTCTCAGCAGCTCCAGCTGTGCTTGAAGCACCAGCCTATGCATGGCAGCCACGGCACACTTTCTTAAGTGCATGCTAGCGCGCGTGCGCGATGCCCACTCCAACGCCCTTGCAACGCCAATCAAATTGCGGCGCCGCCCGCAGGCTCGCTGGAGAGGTTGGTCTTGCAAACGCGCCGCGCCCGGGCCCCGGCAGCCTGCGGGTCGGCCTGCTTGATGCGCTGCACCTCCTGGGGGAGGCCGAGGTTGTGGCCGGCGTCAACCTCAGCGAGCAGTGACTGGCAGCCATGCGGGCCTCGGCTGCCTCGTCCTGGGGTTGCTGGGCAATCAGGATGGTGGGATGCATGGTTGGGCCTGGCTTGAGGCTGCCTTGGAGCGGCTCTGGGGATGCATGCTACAGGGTCAACTGTGTTGTTGAGTGATATGGTTGGGGATGGTTGGGGGTGGTTGGCTACGTGTGCAGCCGGTTGGTGCAGGACGTTCCACGCTCGTCTGCCTTCTCGTTTGTCTTGGTCTTGGCAGCGGGGTTGTTGGCCTCGTCCATTGAGGCAGCGGCACCAGGCCAAGCACGCGTGCCTCGCGTGCGCACTTGCACTCTTTTGAGGCAAAGGAAACAGTCATTTGTGCTCATCAGCACAGGGGGGAGCTCAAGGGGTTCCACTTTTGTGTTGAAGAGAGCATGTAACTTCAAGCAATCAGCCACAGCCTGCACACTCCAATGCGGTCCACAATCAGCACCAGCGCCCCCCGGTTGCTGCGTTGGCCGGCGCTGGCTGGCGCTGCTCGCCAATCTGACGACTCGATCGGTACAATGCGAGACACTCTCTGAAATTGCGCAACAATCATCATCAAAATGCCAGGTGGGCTGCTTGCTTTTGAGCCAGTCGTGACATGCAATTCCACTTTTTCTAAATGATCACATGCTGACTTGCGCAACCATTGAGCATCTGTATGTCCAGCCGCTGCGTGTCTAGCACACTGTTTTGACGCCGCACGTCTCTTCTAATCATCGCTCCATAGGCTCATCAGGCCACATAGACGGCGGCCATCCTTACCATCGGCGTGGACGCCACTCACAGCATGCACGCAGCCGCGCCGTCGCTGCCACAGGGGTCGCACACACAAGGTGCGGTGCTGCTCTGTCGCGGCTTGGCAGCCTTGGCCAAGCATCGCCGCGCATCTGGACGCACGATATCAACTCACGCGTTCTTCGCAATGACACACTGCCGCTTTGTTACTGCGCTGTTTGCGGATCTGCCGTGGGGTGTTGGGGTGGTTGAAGCTAACGAAGGCCGGACCCTTCGCAACACAACTACGCAATGCCTGTGCATCACTTTGAGCGTCGATCTCCGCAATCTCTTTGGCGTCACCAGCAGGGTGGCAAATGCACATCCGCATATCTACTGCAAACTAATTGCACCGGCTGGTTATGCCCCAGCTCTGGCTCTGGCTCTTTCAAGGGAGGGTGCTGATGCAACCAGGTGTGTGAGGGCAGAGGGGCAATGGCCGTGCTTGCGCTCATGAAACTCCTGGTGCACAGGCGGTACAGGCAACCTCACATGTGTTGACCATCGTTTCAACCTCTTCTTCTTCTCTATGTTTGTGATCTGGGCAGCGTTGACTGCAACGCGTTGATCATTTGACCAGCGCAAGATACTCGCAACGCTTATCCTGGACGTGCCCTCAAATTCGACACAACACTTTCCCTAGGAAAATTTTTGCTGCAACCATCAAACTACCTTATCGCCACCCCGGTCGAACAACGAAAACCGCGAAGGAACCAGTCAATTGCGGAGTGCACGGTCTTTGTTCCCCTTGTCTTGAAGGCCTCAGATAGAGCGCTCATATCAACCAGCTTGCCTCCTCTCGTGTCCTGAGGACGTACACTCGTGCGGCGTGGGCAAGAGTTGCCGCTGACACGGACAGCAGCGCGCGCTCGCTCCCGCTGCCAACGCCGCAGCCACGATGTCGCGCTACCGCAACCGACCCCAACATTATGGCTCTCAGCCGCAGTATGCAGCACAGAACGACGACGAGTATGGACGACAGGTACAGCCGCAGCAGCAGCAGCAGCAGCAGCAGCAGGATCCCTGCGCCCGAGGAAAGGCTGCCATCCGGCAGGCCCAGATCTGCGGACTCGAGAACGCCGCACAGTCGCTAAGGGAGAAGAACGCGCGGGTTTGCGCACAGCTAATAGACTGCCAGGTAGGCAGCATGATGAGGCTGTTTGGGCCAGAGGGGCAAGGCGGCGCCCCTGGCCATGGGCAGCCAGCTGAATGTGGCCCGAGGGATGCCGCCTTGTGTGCCGCGCAGACTGCAGAGCGCAGCAGCTCTGACTGCTGTTCATTCCCCATCGCAACTACCATTGCAGGCGCGTTTGGATGAGGAGAGGAAGGGTCGTGAGGCGGCGGAGCAGCGCGAGGAAACGGCGCTGGTGAGGGGGCGGGGAACAGGGCAGTGTCTGCATGAGCATGCGTATATATTTATGATCTCAGGTGTTTGGAAGGATGTGGGCGTAGCTGGTAGGGTGTGCGGTGGGATGTTGGATCGCAGGGCGTACGATGGACAGGCGCGCGCGCGGACGCGCGCGCGCCCGCGTGCGCGGACGCGCACACACACTCTCGCACACAAATGCATGCCTGCACGGTCTTGACGGCTCCCGTCAATGAGCCCTCGCCTCTTTGCTGATCTCTTGATTCTGGGGACCTTCAACAAACCGCAATTGCAGGCGCACAACACCAGGCTGGACCAGACGCTCCAGGACGCCTGCGGCAGCATCCTGCAGGCCCAGGTGAGGCACAGCGACGAGGGGGGGGTCTGGTCATTGACACGTGGGGCAGGTGCGGCTGAAAGGCTCGCTCGCTGTGGGCGGATGCAGGGTTTGTGTTTGCAGCAATCAGCAAGCCAGCAGCCGCCGCGGCTCTGCCTCGGCCTTCGCCCACCTTCTCCTGCCCTCCAACTGCGCATGAATAAGTCTCAGCATCCCCAGTTAATTAGGCCCTGAACCTCCAATTGGCCGCGCCACTCTGACCCGGTTTACCAAATTCCTCTTTGCGCGTGCGCACTACGCACGCACGCACGCACGCGCACGCGCACACACAGACACAGACACACACACACACACACACACACACACACACACACACACACACACACACACACACACACTCTTGCATTCACACATGCCCTCACATTCACCCACGAGTTGCTCTACAGGCATATGTAATTCCCCTCGCCCACCCACATTTCTGCCCACCGCACCCCGATCCTGACCCGGACCCCACCCTATCTACACCACCAGTCGGAGCTCGCCGTGGCATGTGAGGAGGCGCAAGGGGCGCAGGCGCTGGCACAGGTCTACAAGGCGGACTTCACGGCTGCGATGGTGAGAGGCAAGGGGTCCACAACATGATGGGAGGGTTGGTGGGGCTTGGGGGGCAGGCGGTGTGGGTACGCACAGTTTTTCGCCTCCTTTCCAGTGTCGAACTGGGCGGGCAGCTGAGTCAAGGCAACAGCATAGGCGGTGGAGTGGGGGGCGCATTTTATGTCCGTGTACATGCGCACCCAGGCCCAGGGATTAATCAGAAATATCGCCCACCTTGTTTGCAAAGTGCCACATTGCATTCTTGAAACCCGGATCTCAATCACCCTCTCTGGCTTGCATTTTGCTCACATCTCTATTTGCAGGCGGCGCTGGCGCAGGCGGACCTGGGCTGCAGGACGGCCAACGCGCGCGCCGTGATGGTCACGGCCGAGCTCGGTGTCGTGAGGGTGAGCGGGGTCCTTCAACATCAGAAGGGGGCGCTGGCGGGGGTTTTCACGACTCGTGCGGCCAGGGAGACTGATTAGAAGACTGCAGGCTGCGCGACAAGGCATGGGGTCGGAGCAGGCACGTGGCGCGCTGCTTGCACGCTCGCGCTCGCCTGTCCTGGTCGCTGCCTGCTGATCGGCTGGTGTCTACCCTCACACACACACACACACACACACACACACACACACACACACGTCCACCCAGGAGTCGCTGCAGCAAAAGGACGACCAGCTGGTGGCAGCCAGGGGCGAGGTGCAGCTGTTGTGCGCCGCAGAGCAGCGGCGCGTGGAGGAGATGGCGGAGCTGAACGGGCAGATGGAGAGGTGCCGGGTGAGAGGGGCGGCGGCGGTCAACGCGCTGTTCACCCTTTAAATGATGAGGGCTGTGGCTGGGCGTGCGATCGACAGAAGGGACCTGGGACCCGGTTTGCGCTTGAGGTTTGGGCGCGGAACTGCGCTGTATTGCATCGCGGCAGGATAGCTTGTTTTTGTCAAGGTCCAGCTCATCTAGCTGTATGTGGGAGGCCCTGCCGAAAGCGTCGGTGCACTGATGGCTGTCTATAACAAGCGCCCCTGAGGGACTAGCCGGATTGCCCTCGGCACAATTGAGACATGTCTGCCCCCCCCCCCCTGTTTGCCTTGCCGCTCCCCGTGCTTTTCCGACTGTAGGAGCGGCTGGAGACCCAGGCCGAGGCCTGCGCCGCCATGAGGCTGGAGCGGGACGCCACCGGGGCCCAGCTCACCCAGGCACAGCAGTTTGCAGCGGAGCTGCAGCAGCAGATGGTTGCGGCCACGGCGGCCAAGATGGCGGCCGAGGAGGCCCTGGACAGCTGCCGGGTGAGGGGTTTGGGGGCTGAGAGATGGGGCCACGGATCGCGGACCGTGGTGGGGTGAAGGTTGAGACCATAACGTAGTTGGCAAGGGGGGATGTGAAAGCGCCCATCTGTATTCCTCTTGTACAGAGCGTTTGGGCCAATGTAAAGGGAATACCGGGTTTTCCTGTTGGTTGCGTTTGACAGCGTGCGGCGCGCCCCGCTTAAGCAATTGAACACGATCCAGAGGTGCGTGTCTCGCACAGCAACATCCTGCCTGCATGGGCCGTCACTACCGGCGCCCTGCTGGCGGGCGCCTTCACCCTGCCCACCCCTTGCAGCGCGAGCCCCCTACGCCCAATGCAGCGTGGACGCCCAGCTGCCCAATCACCCCAGCCGATCCACCCGACACCTTCGCAGGTCGCCATGGCAGAGGGCGTGCGCGCGGCTGATGAGGAGATGGCTGCGCTGCAGGCCAAGATCAAGGAGATGCAGGTGTGAGCGTGTGTGTGTGTGTGTGTTTGTGAATGTGTTTATGTGTGTGTGAGCGTGTGTATGAGTGTGTGTGTGTGTGTGTGAGCGTGTGTGTGTGTGTGTTTGTTTGTGTGTGTGTGTGTGTGTGTGTGTGTGTGTGTGTGTGTTTGTGCGTGCGTGCGTG